TATGTGCCAGGAGTTGTTCTAGGCCCTGGCAATACAAAGGGGAACGAAATAGATCAGCATCCCTGCCCTCCAGCAGCTTTTATTTCAATGGAGGAAAATGAAAGGAAACAAGTGAAATATGTAGTATGGTGGTAAAAGTAAAGAGAAATAAACTGGGGCAAGGCAGGGAATGGCAGGCGAGTTGCGAGGTCAGGGGAGGCCTCATCGAAGAGCAAAGGAAGCAGGGAATGAGCTTCACCAGGGAAGGGAACAGCAGGTGCAAAGGCCCTGGGGTGAGGACGTGGCTGGTGTGACTGGTGGGGAGTGAGCAGCCGGTGATGAGGTTGGAGAGGAGGGGGAGGGTCCAGATGGTATAGGGCAGTGGTTGGCAAACCGCGGCTCGCGAGCCACATGCGGCTCTTTGGCCCCTTGAGTGTTCTAACACCACTTCTTCAAATCAGACTCACCCAGGCCAAAAAACCGACTTCTGCGCATGGGCCACGACGTTTCAATCGCACTGTATGTGCGTGTCCGCACATGGTATTTTGTGGAAGAGCCACACTTAAGGGGCCAGAGAGCCGCATGTGACTCGAGAGCCGTGGTTTGCTGACCACTGGTATAAGGAGAGAGAGTTTATTTGACATTACTGAATGAGGTGAAAGGAGGAGAGCATTTTTTTTTAAATTAAGATATAATTCATACAACATAAAATGACCATTTGAAAGTATGTAATTCAGGGTTCTTTGGTATATTCACTCTGTTGTACAAACGTCGCCCCATTCCAGAACATTCCATCACCCCCGAAAGAAACCCCGTGACCATTCCCTATCTCTCCTTCTCGCATCCCTCGGGGGAGACAACCCCAGTGTACTTCCCGTCTCTGTGGATCCGCCCCTTCTGGGTGTTCACGTCAAAGGAACCGTGTGACCATGGCTTTCGTGTCCGGCCTCTTCACTCGCATGTTTTCCAGGTCCGTACGTGGGGCGGCGGATAGCGGGACCCGCCCCTTTATGTGGCTGACTAACATTCCCCTGTGTGGATGGAGCCCATTTTCTCTGTCCGTTCATCAGCTGATGGACGTGAGCTATTTCCACTTTTCGGCTGTTAAGAACAGTGTCCAGCCTAAACCGTTTGGCTCAATGGATAGAGCGTTGGCCTGTGGACTGAAAGGTCCCGGGTTCGATTCCGGTCACGGGCATGTACCTTGGTTGCGGGCACATCCCCCATAGGGGGTGTGCAAGAGGCAGCTGATCAGCGATTCTCTCTCAACGATGTTTCTAACTCTCTATCCCTCTCTCTTCCTCTCTGTAAAAATCAATTATTTATATATATATCTCGAAAGAACAGTGTCCAGGTTTCTAACAGTGTGTGTGTGGAGGTGTTTGGATAGCCTTTGGGATGTGTTGCTGGGTCGTAGGGTGACTCTGTGTTTAACCTTTGGAAGAAGCGCCGCTGGCTGCTACACAAAATCATGGTCCCGCCTGCGGGGTCCGAGGAGGGTTCCGGGTGCTCCCTCCTCATCCTCGCCAACACTTACTGCTTCCACGTTTGGGGTCGTAGCCACCCTCGCAGCTGCGAAGTGGCATGGCGGGAGATTCTGAGCTGAGGACACTGGGTTTAACAGGGGCTTTCAGGGGAGCGGACTGAGGGGAGCAGAGAGGAAGCAGGGACCGGTGAGTGGGCTGCTGCACTAGTCCCAGCAGGAGAGGACGGTGCCCTGTGCCTGGGTGGTGGCAAGGGAGACGGGGGGGAAGCGGTCGGATTTGGGATACACTTTTAAAAAATATATATATTTTATTGATTTTATATAGAGAGGATGGGAGAGAGAGAGTTAGAAACATCGATGAGAAAGAGTCATCGATCGGCTGCCTCTTGCACACCCCCCACTGGGGATATGCCTGCAACCAAGGTACATGCCCTTGACCGGAATCGAACCCGGGACCCTTCAGTCCCCAAGCCTATCCATTGAGCCAAACCAGTCTCGGCTGGGATACACTTTTAAGGCAGAAGGATGCTCCATTATCTGAGCAACTAGACAATGGTGTTTCCACTGGCTGAGTTAGAGAAGACCATAGCAGGAGGGTCTTCCTGTGATTTTTTATGCCAGTCACTTGGCAGGCAGGAGCCAGCCCCTTTTCGTGTGTGTGTGTGTGTGTGTGTGTGCGTGTGTGTGGTGGATTTTTTGTTGCCAGCCCAGCTGGGAAGTTTCAGTTGGCGCTCTGGGCAGAGGGGATTGTGGGAGAAGAAAGCAAACGCTGTGCTTCACATGCGTTGACATAAGTGTCCACTGGCCGCGCCCTGAATGTCACTTAAAGTGAGCCATTTGTGTCCTTCCCCTGGGAGGGGGACAGTGTGTGCCCGGGGAGTCACAGAGGACAGCAAGGGCATTCACCCTGAGTACGGGCTGCTGCAGAGGGTGTGTGGGCTGCAGCCGGCAGGCCTCTGCCTTCTGAGGCCACTTAGGGGATTATCTGGAGAGAAAATGGCCCCCTGAACGATTTGTGGGCCTGTGGGGCGCTAATGCTGAGCTCCTTCCTGTGGGTTGGGAAAGTCTTGGGCTTATTCCTCCCTTGGTCCACCAGACAAGTCAGCAAACGCTTTGTGGGCTGTCTCCTGCCCGGGGCACTACCCTGAGTACCAGGAGGTGGGCGGGGAGACGGGGAGAAGAGAGCTGACAGGCAGCGATGAGGGGGACACATTCCCCCTCCCCCAGGGGCAGCGCCCGGGGGTCAAATCTGGCTTCTGTACTCAGGAGCTGCGTGACCGTGAGCAAGTGACTTAATCTTTCTGGTCCTTTGTTTCTCAGTCCAGAAAAGGGGGACACTCCAGCACCTGCTGGATGGCTTTCTCCTGAGGCTCAAATGAGATGACCCACTTATGGTGATCAGCCCTTGCTTTTGCGATCCAGTGAGACAGAGACAGAAAGCAACCACGTACACACCTACTGTGCACAGGCTGTCTGTTAAATGCAGCCACATGTATTGTCAGGTCAGCCTCCCGCCAGCCCTGTCCGGCCGAGGCTCCTGTCACAGGGCAGCCAACCGAAAGGCAGACATTAAACCCTTGGGTCAAGGTCACGGCTGGCAAAAGAGAAGGTGGGATTTGAACCCAGGACCGAGTAACTTCCCTTCTGCACCCGCCGACACAGGCTTAGACGCGCTTCCCTGGAGCAGGGCTTCAGGCGCAGCTCGGGAAGGAGGCAGCGGTCCGAGGGGGTCTCCAGCACCCCTCCATGCCCACTCCCGTCTCTCACTCGTCTCTGCATCAGAAGGAGCAGCCAACACTCTGCACCTTCTTCCTCCCTCGGCGCCTTCAAGACATTGTACCATGATTTCACTTCAGGGGGGAGAACTTCCTGTGTGTGTCCCAGCCTCCCTCGGCTGAGGTCGCCCTCCCCTGTCAAGCCTCCCCCGTGCAGGCACAGAAATAGTCCCAGCTGTGAGATGAAGGCTCCAGAGCTTAAAATTGCCCCTGGTACTATTTATACTCCTGCCGGAAAGATGGCTTTTCGCAGCCGTTTACTTTGTGGCCGTGGCGCTGCAAGCTGCCGGCTCCTGCACCGGCTAAGCATTCCCAGGCAGGTGGGTGCTGAGGGGCCTTCGGGTGTCAGGGGCGGTCCCGGGCCGCCCAGAAATGTCCGTGTCATCTCTCTGGGCAGCATGATTGGCCTGGTGAGCCAGAGAGAGAGGCTCAGGGTCACTCTAGAAGTTTCTTCCTAGATGCCTGGAATTTTTTTATTTATTTATTTATTTTTAAACACATGACTGAAACCGGTTTGGCTCAATGGACTGAAAGGTCCCAGGTTCGATTCTGGTCAAGGGCATGTACCTTGGTTGCTGGCACATCCCCGGTAGGGGGTGTGCAGGAGGCGGCTGGACAATGTTTCTCTCTCATCGATGTTTCTAGCTCTCTTCCTTCCTCTCTGTGGAAAATCAATAAAATATATTAAAACACACACACACACACACACACACACACACACACACGAAACCCTCCCTTATTTTATAAGCCTTGAGCGTTGTACATCCCTGATGGGGAAAGAAAGGGTCAGACTAATTTCTACACACGTGATGAAAGCAGGGCTTATATACTGGCCCACCCATTCACATGTGTGTTTAACTTGGTCCGTGGAGTGTTAGGAAAAAACGTACCTTTTTTTTTTTTTTTAATTTGTGCCACTGGTTAAAAACTGGGACATTTCTCATGAGGTGAGAATCTCTGGCCTCTCTTGGAAAAGGAAAGGGTCTGGCACCTTCGAGATCCGCACGAGGCCCCGTGATGTGTCCCTCGGTCACCACCCGGCCCCGGGCACAGGAGCTGGGACCCTTCACTCTACATAAAACCTCCTTCGGCACACTCCCCAATCCCTGCTCTCCAGGGCTAATGACAGGGTTTCCCAGAAACCATAGGGCCCCCGTTCCAGCTGCACTGCACACAACGGACAGTAGTGAGAGTGCGTTCTGGGCCGTCCACGGCGAGTGCTGTCACCGCAGGCCAGTGTCTGTGGAGCACACGCGTGCTGTGCAGTCACAGGTTCGGCTTCTGTTCTGCATCTCCCACGGCTCATGCTTCCTCTCTGTTTTTCAGGAGCCGTGCCTCCCGGTTTATTGGAGCCGGCGTTGAGACTGGGGGCTCAGACCTACATGAGAGTCCTGGCCCCGCCACTGGCTGGCTGTGTGTCCTTGAGCAGGTTACCTCCCCTCTCTGAGCCTAAGTTTCCTCGTCCAAACAACAGGGATCTTAGGGGTACCTTTGTTATACTTCCTGTTGGTATTTGTGTCATGTCTTTTGAAAGCTGCGTGGAGTGGCTGGCCCACGGTGGTTTTGCCCAGCCCTCAAGCACCAAGACTGTGCCCAGATTATCCCTGTTTCACGTGAGGCTGGGAGAGGTTTTGCAAAGGAAGAGTTGTTCTGGAGGGAACTGGGCAGATAACCCTGACATTCAACTTGCCCTTTTTAAAAACGAGGGGCGCTTGTCTCCCTGGAAACCATTCGCTAACCCCCAGGACGGTGTCTCTCAGGCGAAGGAGGTGGAGGAGGCCATCAAGGGGATGCTCCTGCGGCTGGAGGAGATCTGCAGCCGGGCCGGCATGGTGAGTGCCGCCCGCCGGAGCATGGTTTCCGCAGGCCACGCCAGGCCCTGCCTGAGTTTCTGGGGAAGCCATTTGGGTGGGGATTTGCCAGCCAGCAGGAGTGGGGCCTCAGCCAGCGGTGAGCGGAAAACCGCACCTCGCTCTCCCCCCACGCCCAGGCGTCCTGCCGGCCATCTTGCTGCGTCCTCCCCGGTGGTTTCTTCCTCCAGGAGCGGGCGCCGGCCAGCAGGTGGCACTCTCGGCGCCGATGCAGCCGTGCGGACGCTGAGACTATATTTAACTCCTCGCCCTCAGCTCCCGGGCAGATGTGGAGGCACCAGGAAGTGCCTCAGGCCTGTGAGGCCCTGCAAGGCGGGCGCAGCCGGGCTAGCCCTGGCATCGCCTCCTTCCGGAACCCTCTTGCTCCCCACCTTTGCCTCCTACCCTGGTTTTGGGGTCCCCTTAGTTGGGTGGGGAACAACATGGAAGAGGGTGCCTGAGGCCCAGAGGACAAGATCTCCACTCCCCACTCTCTAGAAAGCTCCTCTAGATCCTGGTGTCCCCGGGCTTGCTGCCAGCCAGGTGTGAGGCCCCAAGGAGCGATGATGGAACATTCTGGAAATGCCCAAGCTTATTAAAGGCAACCCGGCAACCAGAGATGGAGGCTTCTGCCTGGGAGCCTGGAGCCGGGAGGGTAGAGTCCGTGCTGCAGCCTTGCCCGGCCAGCCCTGTGTGCAGACTGTGGCCGGGCAGCCAGGTCTCCAGCGGAGCCTGGGAGCCTATGGGATCACAGCCAGGTAGCCCAGATGTTTATTGCACATCTGCTCCGCGCCAGGCACCCCACGGAGTGTGTCTCCTGTGTGACCTCATTGCCCCTGGAAGCAGCCCCATGCGATGGGCACCGTGTCAGCCCCCATCATCCTACAGGCCTGCCTGGTGCCCGCCTGGGCATGGCAGTGAACGGACGGAAACGGACCCACGAGGGCCTGTGTGTGTCCTTCTCGAGAGCCGATATTTTAGTGCAGGTGGTGGCTCGGGTGGGAGCTGGGCAATCAGACAGACTTCATGGCCTCTCATGGTTTTCTTCCTCACCAAATATGGACACCTTCTCTGGCTGGGCCCTGGGTGGGTCCGAGGCTGCAGGGCCCACCGCTGTCCCCGAGCCCAGGCTGCTGGGAGGGCGACGTGTGCTCCGGCTGCTGTCATTCACTGTGGGAACGCCGTCATCGCGCTGTGCTCAGGTGCAGAAGTTCTGTAAAGAGAAAGAGGGTCCAGAAGGAACGGGCACGTAATCCCTAAGACTTGGTTTGCTTTAAAAAAAAAAAAGGGGGGGGGGGGGGAAGCAGAAGCATTAAATTCTACCCGGGAAATTGGGAAGGCGTCATAGGAGAGATGGTGATTAATTTGGGGGTTGAGGACACACGGAAAGAACTCACTGCTCAGGAGAGCGGGTCCAGGCAGGGCACGCCGGGCGCAGCCTGGGCAGTGAGGGCCCACAGGTGAGGGCGGATTTGGAAGACGGTGTGGACGGGACCCAGGACATTGTTGTTGACAAGTCCTAGCCCATCCTCCTGTGGAAGGAGACCCCTGTGGGTCCGACACAGCTGGGGTGGGAGTCAGCGTGGACAGGCCACGCCTGCCTTGAAAACCGCCAGGGCTTATGGGGGAAGTCGTGTTTAGGAGGCCAGGAGGCCCGAGACTGTAGGGTCCTCTCTGAACTCCGAGATGGAGACACCCTCCCACAAAGATTTCATTCTGAGGCCGCACTCAGGTGCCCACAGCTGCTGCAGATATGTTGGATTTTTTGTTGTTGTTTTTTGTGTGTGTGTTTTTTTGGGGGAGGGAGACTGCAGGGAAGGAATTCGCTGCTGTCCTTTCTACCGTGTTTCCCCGAAAATAAGACATCCTCTGAAAATAAGACCTACTTACAGGTTTCCTTCTGAGAGGAATATAAGGCATCCCCCCGAAAATAAGGCCCTCCTAGACTCTGTCTCAGAATGCTATTGCTAAACATGAGAGATTTGGTCCACTGATTCTGAAAGAAATGGAGTCACAAGAAATTCACCAGGAAATTCAGGAATTGGATTGTTATGATGATGTTCCAGAAGATGATGACATGATTGTCATTGAATAAATGAGTAAATTCTTTTTTTTTTTAAATATATTTTATTGATTTTTTACAGAGAGGAAAGGAGAGAGATAGAGAGTTAGAAACGTCGATGAGAGAGAAACATCGACCAGCTGCCTCTTGCACAACCCCTACTGGAGATATGCCCACAACCAAGGTACATGCCCCTGATCAGAATCGAACCTGGGACCTTTCAGTCCGCAGACTGACGCTCTACCACTGAGCCAAACCGGTTTCGGCTAAATGAGTAAATTCTTGAAACTGTAGGATTCACAGTTTGTCTGGTTTGTGTTGACAACTACCGTACTACCGTACCATATACAGGTAATAAATTTCCTTTATTTTCATTTAACAATAAATGTGTACCATACTCTTCTTCATGGAAAAATAAGACACCCCCTGAAAATAAGACCTAGCGCATCGTTGGGAGCAAAAATTAATATAAGACACTGTCTTATTTTCGGGGAAACGGTAGAATGTCATGCCCCAAATCTGGATTCCTGGCTTCTTAGAAAAACCAAGATCTGGCCCCCGTTGAGTGCTGGTTCCCATCAGCCGGAGCTGCATCGTGGCTGCCCCTGAGGCCTGGCCCTGTCCCCCGGCCCCGGAGCTTCCCTGGCTCCAGGGCCACTGGCCGGACGCCATCCTCTGCTTGCGTGTCTGAGGAGGGAGCGTTCTCTGCACTCTGGGCCCTCCTGAAAGCGGGCAAATAAAGCCCGGCCAAGAGCGCCCTGTTTTGAGAAATGGGAGAGAGTGACTTCTGTGGCCATGAAGACTGTCTCACGTGCTGACGGCAGGAGCCTGTCTGCACAGACGGAACGTGCCCAGGACGCACTCTTGTGGCCCCGGTGGGCGTTTTGCTTTTGCAGCCCTTCGCTGATGCTCTGTGCTGCCCTTGTTTACATCAGGGGGTCCTCTGGCCCAACAGCTGAGGCTTAGCTTAGCGGGTGTGTCTGCATCCAGGTGTGTGAGCGCCACACACAGGGGGAGGGTCCAGCTGGCAGCCCCGCTCAGACCTCCGTTCCTTTGAGGAATGGGATGTGTGGGGACCTCTGGGCGGCAGGTGATGTCACACCATGGACCACAGTCCGGCCCCCGCCTCGGCTTTTGGAAACACTGATCCAGTTAGAGGTCTGAGAGCAGCCGGGCTCCCTGGTACACAGTCCAGAGAGAAGCGGCTTCATTTCTGGTAAAATCAGGCTGTGAGTAGAGAGTCCGACTTCCCCCTGGCGCATTAACTCTCTGCCGGCCTGTCCCTGGTGGCTCTCGGTGCCTGGAATTCGCTCCCCTGCGCCTGCAGCCTGTCTGACCTTGGGAAGAGGCCCCTTCAAGCTCCGGTCTCCCCGCTGTGGGGCCCTGGGCACAGCACGTCACCTCTCCATGCCTTTATTTTCTGCTCTGTAAACGGAGAGAGAGGTTCCGATGATCTGCTGGAAGACAGCAACCCCAGGACATGGGCTGTGAAACGACGGCCACGCATGATGTGGACCAAGACAGGGTCCGAGGGCGGCCTGGCTGAGCCCCAGGGCACCTGTTGCCTGGGGCTGTCCACGGTGGCTCTCCTCTCACGTGCTGATGTGGAATGGGGGTGGGGGAGCTGGGGCCTGGCAGGCATGCTGGTCCTTTGTGCAGCCCCCCACGTGTTGAGCTCGGGCTGCCTCGTGGCATGGCGGTGTGGCCCCCAGAGCAAGCACGCCAGCAGACTGGAAGCGGAAGGAGCCGGGCTCTGGAGGCTTGCGTATGGAAGTCGACACAGGGTCACGTCCATCTTTTTTTTTTTTTTTTTTTTTTTGTCCAATCAGTCACGTAGATCAGATCCATGAGGAGAGGACTTAGACCCACCTGTTCCTGGAAGGACGTAAAGAACGTGGGAGGGCCAAAGCCGGTTTTGCTCAGTGGATAGAGCGTCAGCCTGCGGACTGAAAGGTCCCGGTTTCGATTCTGGTCAAGGGCATGTACCTTGGTTGCGGGCACATCCCCAGTGGGGGTGTGCAGGAGGCAGCTGATCGATGTTTCTCTCTCATCGATGTTTCTAACTTTCTATCCTTCTCCCTTCCTCTCTGTAAAAAATCAATAAAATATGTTTAAAAAAAAAAAGAATTTGGGGGCATGTTTAGCCACTAACAGCGAATCCCTTTGCAGAGTTACCACGAGGAACAGGTGAGGCAGGAGTGTGACCCCAATGAAAGGGACAGACCGTGGCCGGTGTGGGAAGGACGGACATGCCAGAGGGCAGAGCCACTTTGGAAAGTAGTTTGGTGATTCCTTACAAAGTCAAGCCTCTACTTACCCCACATTCCAGCCGCCGTGGCCCTAGATAGTTGCCCAGGAGAAATGCAAACAAATGTCCACAAAGGCTTGAGCGCAGTGTGCACAGCAGCTGCGTTCACGGCGCCCCATGTCCGCCGGCTGCAGGAGGGGAGGATGGGGGATCTCATACGGAGCACAGGGAGGGAGGGGGCGCCACCTGCAATCGCATGGCGGCTCTCACAGACGTGATGCGGAGTGAGAAGCCAGGCACGGAATACACTCTATGTGGCTCCCCTAGCGTAAGTGACCCGACATCCCACTTTTGGTGGGACAGTCTCGATTTTTAACAATTCGTCCTGTGGCGTTTTAAAAAAGTTCCGATTTTTCCAAAAATCGGGACTTTTTAAAAATATATATATATTATTGATTTTGTACAGAGAGGGAGGGAGAGAGATAGTTAGAAACATCTATGAGAGAGAGTCATCGATCAGCTGTCTCTTGCACACCCCCTACTGGGAATATGCCCGCAACCAAGGTACGTGCCCTTGACCGGAATTAAACCCGGGACCCTTCAGTCCCCAAACTGACGCTCTATCCATTGAGCCAAACCAGTCTCAGCATAAAATCGGGACACTTTTAAAAC